TTTTTTTCTTTTTGCTTATGTGGTGCTGAGGAATCGAACCCAGGGCCTCAGGCATGCAAGGCAAGCACTCTACCACTGAGCCACCTTCCCATCCCCAAGAAATCTTATTGATATAGCTCAAGACAGGTATTTCCTGGTCATTGGTTTTAACCATAGGAGGGGACCAGAGTCCCATGATCTAATGCCCAACTACCAAGATGGTGGGACTCAGCTTTCTGGGAACTATAGTACAAAGGAGAATGAAGCGAGTGTGTAAGCTCTTCCACAGGAATAAAATAACTCTCTGGATGTTTAGAGGAAGTAGGAGAAGAGGGAAATCCAGGATCATTTCTTGGAGAATAGAGGACTCTGCTGAAAGATCTCTTGAACTGAAGATGCAGAATAATTAGGAAGGGACATAATTGGCAGTCAGTGTCATTTTAGACTATTAGAGGAAGACAGGGAGTGGGAGAACATGAAATACAAGGAACATAGTAGAAGCAACAAGAGGAGTGAAAAGACTCAAAACAAATTCTTCCAGATGTGATGACCAATTAGAATTGGATGTTTAAGAGAAGGTCAAATCTTAGATGAACTTTCAGGCCTCAGACTTTGGTGACAAAGGGTAGATGCATGTGGCAGTTTAATCACAATATCCCTAGAGTATCCTTGGCTCTTTCTATACCCTTTACTTTAAGTGCCTCAGTGTTTGTAGTTTCCCAAGCTATGTTTGTTCACAGCTCCAAACTTCTGTATATCGTACTCTTTTTTTCCCGCCCGGAAGTGGCTTTCTCCAACAATTGCTTGATAAAATATTCAACTTCAAAATTCAGTTTAGTTGACCACTCAAAAGTCTTCCCTGACCTATACAGTGCTCCCACTACGGTCTTATAATACTGTTAATGTAACTCTGATATATTTAGATTGTAGTTGTTTATTTAAACATATTTCTTGGCTATGAACCAGGTTGACTGGGAAGAAGTGTCATAAATTAAGCTAGAAAGCACAAGAGGAATATGAAGGAGAAAATGATGAGACCTAAGCTTCTAAGACTTCAAAATTAATAATCAATTATAGAACACAACAGTTAATACAAATCAAAAAGAATGCCAGACTTAAGAGTGTAGAGATATGCACAGAAGGACTGAGCAGACTGCAAGCATTAATGGAATATATGATATTCATAGCTTTGGGAAGGTCTGAAACCTAAGGCTTCCTGTCTCAGCTTTCTTTGCTAT